CTCGGTTTGATTGAGTCTGTACATGATTTAAGCCTTGTACCTTCAGACAAGACGTTTTTTTTGTAATGATGGAAATCATTGATCCCCGGGTCGGGCTAATTTTGACCCCAGGTGTAAAATTTGAATAACCTTGGTAAAGGTCCACTTCACAATGTCTCGTGCCAAATATCTTACCATTTGTCAGAGGACGTATGTATGATATCATATACCAACTGTTAAAGCTCTGGACCTTTAATTACATACAAGTAGATTTTTTAAATTTGCATTTTTGAAACTCCTTTTCTTGCCCCGTGACCTACTTATGAAACATACCAGAACTATTTGAACAGCTTTAAAAGGACCATTCCTATACAATTTTGTTACTGTACAATCATTGATTTCAGAGGAGATGTTGTTTTTTTTTTTTTTAACGTACGACGACGCACGACAGACGGTGGGGACCTCAACGAGCTCATGGTAAGCTAACAAAAAAAATCAAACAGCAAGAAAAAAATCATAATGCAAATTCCAAGCTCAGATGGGTAATTCTGATAACTTGGTGTTAGTGTTATGAATCTTGTCACATACGATAAGGTAGGTGTACAGAAAAAGATGTTTTAAGTTTGAAGTAAATTCCTTAAGATAAAGAAGTCAGTATAATGAAAATATATTTCATTTCTCGACATATACGCACCTTATAGTACTATTCATTAGAATTATCTCTGCGATAATAACTTTAATTCCCCTAAAAAACCCAAACAAGCTCCTAACTAGACTGATCATCAAATAATCATGGGACACACTGTTTTAGCACAACATAACGCCAGTTTATTATCGGCGTTAAAAATGTTCACATCTGTGTGAAAATATTTTTTTCTTGGACATAAATTGTAAGCTAGTTTTGTACCGACGATTGTTTATTGGAGAAGTTATTTTTTTCTGATGTAGAAGAGGGATATTTATGAGACGGTTTTCTTTCTAGAACTTCCGGATTGTCGTCTTTGGTGAAGTAACGCACTGTAAGTGCGAGTTAGAAAGAGTTATATTCTTTACGTAAAGATATTACTGTTAATCTCTACATGCTTAATTTGCTCAATTTAACTCATGGGTATAATGACTATGAAAAGTTCATTAACTGTCTTGCATAGACATATTACTCCTGACATTTAGGAAAACTTCACTTCTGGTGAGAGAAGACCTGTGTCTTTGAGCAATTACAACACTCCAGGTGGTAGTAGACCCTTCTTACAACTTACTTGTTCAATAGGGATTACAATACTCCTGATGCTGATGCTCTCTATTTGTAAACAGGACAAAGGTATATTTCTGAATTATGCTTGACTCAGACGAGGACGCCTGCTCTCGTGCTAGTGTTGAAATCGTTGTCGCTGATTGCGTTTCGCAGTCAGATAGGTTAACTAAATACAGTTAGTTCTAAGACTAAAAAACTTTTCGCACAGGTGTTGGTTGAAGATGCACTAAAAGGAACAAAGACAATTGATGGCTGCTTATTGGTAACAGTTGGGTAACTGTACTTCAAGAGTCATGGCGTTGAATTCCAGCTTATAAAGACATTTAATTGTCAATTTTGTCATGTCAGAGTCCTTGCACAAGAGTTGTTGCAAGTTCCTAGTTGTGTTACTAAAGTGAATTACTTTTGATGATGAAATATGGTAGTCTAGCAGCCTCTAAGTCTCAAACTTTGTATTTACAGCCTTTCAAAACACTTGAAAACATAGCATTTTAAGATATATGTGCAGCACGTATGATTATAATTATTAATTAATACATACAACATGCGTTTGAAAATTCATTGACATTACACAGGATAATTATATAAATGCAGATAAAATCATACAGTGTGTAAGAGATATCTTTTCAAAGTGCACAAAAGTCATTGGTCAAATTTCTTTCCGTTGTGCTTTTCACCATTTACTGAAAAAATCTGGGCTAACATGATCTTAGAGACATCAAAGATCATAAAAGGATAATTCCATTGGGAATGGTATGGAAGAGAAATTTAAGGATAGAAAAGAGATGAATTGATAATTGCCAGATCTTTTACTGGAGGAAGGTCGCAAGAGAAAGTTTCCAGGTTCTGCCTCTTTACATCAGTAACAGAGACCACGGTTGGCTAATCAGGCTTCCAAAAAATAGTCCTGACAATTTCCTTCTAAGCTATAGACAGCCACAGAGGTTGAATAGTACTCATTTTACCATATCTAAGGTGGTGTAATCACAACCTGAAACATCTGAATATGTTAGTCGTACTTTTCGTAACAAATCAATCTGACTTGTAAATGATCCATCCACAAATACCCGTTAAAACTTGTGTTATCAAACAAGTAAATTCGTTGAATTTACATACTCACACAACAGCTGGAGACATAAGGCATTTTACTATATGTATCATGGTATAAACAGTAAAAACCAACCACGTATTAAAACCAGTCTTTGATGAAAAAATTCATTGTTGACATAGATATGCCGCTAGTTGTTCCGAAATTTCACGATTGACAAAATATGCTTAAATCTAGTCAGCTGTTGCCAAAAAGAAAGACATACATAAAAATCTAATTCTTTGATCAAAGAAACACATGCCATTTCTCTGTGTTGAAGAGTCTGACCGGAACAAGGTAACGATATGCACATCTCCCCTCGGTATTTATTGTTCCAATAAAATTTCATTGAAATCTAGAAAGTAGTTGCAGAGAAACAGCGAGGAAATAATACTTGCTCTATATTTACACTGCATAACTAGGGCCATAACTTTGTATTGAATGGTCTCACAAGAACAAGATGAATATATGCTTGTATCCTCTTGATACAGCAGCTGCAGAGAAGTAGCGCAGACACGATTATTGCTCTATATGCACATTACAAAAGTAATCACGGGCTATAACTGTGTCTAACGGTCTTACTGGAGCAAGGCGACGATATGCGCATTTCCTTTCCTCCTTGTTTTGATGGTTCCTATAAAGTTTCGTTGGATTTTCAGTCAGAAGTTGCAGAAAAATAGCTTGGAAAAAATTCTTGCTCCAGCCCCATATTTTCGAAAGCAGATCTTTTCTTCCATGTAAAACCGACAAGTTTCTTAAAACAGATGCTTCGATGATAGACCTGGGGGATTGCAGGGAAAATAATATAGGAAGGGGACAATGGTTTAAAACAAAATAGTCTGCACAAAATTTGTCTAGAGGGGGAAGCAGTGTTTCGTGTTTCTTGTTTCTTGCTTTGAAAAAGTTCAGCCTTCTGTTAAGAAGTAAAAATGTTTTGGTAAGGTCAGGTAAGACAATATAAGAAACGGGGGGGGGGGGCAAAGTCTCCTTACCTTTGCCTTCATGGTCTAGGTCATTAACAAGCCTAGGTCAAATTTAGTAATATGATTGCTAAACATGTAAAGTGAAAATTTGAATATTTAAATTATTGAGGTTTCAATTATTCATGCAATAAAAGCATTTTGGTCAAGGAGGCGCATTGCTACACATCACAATAAACTAATTGTATTAAATCAGTTGTATTACATAATGGATAGAATAAAAAGAGAAAAAAAAACAATTAACATCATACGAACAAATAGGATTCTCAAACATACAAAATGTATCATACTATTATAAAAAATGTGGGTTTTTTTTTCTTTTTTTTTTTCGGAAGTAACATTGATTTGTTTTTTTCCTAGAAGCCCTATGCAAGTTATATACCTGATTATTTTTGTTATTTTTATATTTACATGTAAGTATGACATTATAACTTTCATGACAATACAGCAATATTTATCTGCACATCTATGTACAATATAATTGTGAATTTCAAGAAATAGCAATTAACATGGTTACTCTTTAATGATTATCAAAAAATTAGATTTTTGCCAAAAATTGATTGTCTGATACAAAAAATTAAACATTATACTGCATTGAATAATATGTCATTGAGAATGTAATACAAATATCTATGTTAAACATGCAACAAAACTTAGACAAATGAAGTCTTCAAGATTAAACGCAAAATACATAACTGTTTGGCATTTTCTCAATATATTTGATATGCATTTTTAATGAAGAAACCTTTCTGGACATACGTATATTTGCAAAAAAAGTTTTTTGCATTAAAGACTTTTTTACGACGTAGTCGTTGCTATGAAAATGCAACAGGTTGTAGACTGTCATGCGCATGCGCAATCCGACAAGGGCAAAAGGCCATCACCCCTCTAAGAAATACAATGTAGAAGTGAGTAGATGATTGTTAAGTAAGTTGTTGGTTAAAAGTATAAAAAAATAATAGTTTTAACAAAAAGGATATGATCCATTAAAGTTTGGTGGCCGAGATTGCTATAAATAGGTATCGAAAAGTTGATTTTTCTGCCCTTTGCGAACACGTCGGACTTTGGAAAATTAAAATCATTATCATTGCAAAACGCGTTTTTTTCAAGGGCTATAACTCGGCCAAAAATCATTCAACCGGAAACCCCGTTTGAAAATTCGCAAGTACTTGAGCCACCAATCAATCTTGTAAAGTTATAATATGAAAATCAACAAATGTAAATTGAGAGAATGTTGTCATAGCAGTTTAGCCTTAAACTATATTAGCAACAAATGCCATAAGTTACTCATGTATGGCTTGTTAGATAAAAAGACTATGAAAAGGATAATCTGCCCTTATCAGGCCATAAAGTATTATAATTAAAAATTGATATTTCCTCAGACCACTATGATATGTTCATACTTGAGTAGTCAAAATTACCAGATGGAATATTTCAGTTATCTTTATAAAAGTATTTATTTCACACGCGATTCTTTTTATGGTTATTAAAAAGAGATGTTAAATTTGAATATTGAAATTATTAAGGTTTTGACAATTAAAGCATTTTGACCAGGGAAATGCTATGTTACAAACTTGTGTAACTAGAATCATACAAGCTGTGCAAGCTGTCGTTGTATTTATGACATTTTATATATAAAAAAATAAACAAAATGATCATACTCTATAACTTCATTTTATCTGTTTTACTTAATATATAACACATTCAAAGACAATCGAAATATGCTCTGACCGTTTTATTTTTTGATATCTCAGTTGCTTCAACAATCAACTCAGTGTAACCAAACAACATACTGACATTGACATGGTCTATTTCATTTTCTCTGTCAGGCAGATCTACAACTATATCACCAAGATAATCTGTACCTTCCTCATCAATATACAGCGGATTATAATTGTCAGATATGTACACTTTAATAACCATTTTATCTTGTTGTTTGTGAATTGAAGATAACTGCCATGTCCTAGCATCTCCGATATGGACAGTGTCTCCACAAGAAAGAAACTTCATGAAAACATCTCGACAGCGATATTTACCATCTATAAGGATTCGACGACCTTCAGTATGTATCGTCCGATCAAATACAGGTGTTATACTTAAGAAGTAAGAGAACTTTGAAATCCTCGAAGAGAAAATTTGAGGTTTGTGGCCAAACAACACTGAACCACAGAGAACCGCCAAGGAAGGTGTTGTCGGTACTATAACTTTAGCAAATGGAAAGTTTTGCACCATAGCTTGTTTAACAATTGGGCTCTGTGACGGTCCACCGACCATCAAAATGATACCTATATCTTTGGGGCAATTATTTTGTAATACTTCTGACACATGCTTAACGATCAAGCTAGTGTAATTTTCATAGAAACTTTTGATAAAATTTCCTTCTATTCTCAATTTGTACAAACGAAATGTTATTTTGTTTTTGTAAATCGAGTCTTCAAACAAATCTGCCAATCTCTTATTTCTGTGATCTAAACAAAATTCAGCTAAAGAAATAGGCACTCGGACTATCTCCTTGGATCCTTCAGCCGCCGGCCATTTCATTCGAAGTTTTTTTGCCTCAAATTCTGTTGCAAGTTCAAAATAATCTTCTGGGTAATCTCTTTGATATTGTTGGAACAATTGCTCTCCTATGACTTTTTCGAAAACACCCATAAATTCCTCATTAACCATCAGGGAACCAACTGCTCCACCGTTCGCTTTAAAAATTTCCATCAATCTTCCGTCTGTTTGTTTCTCATGGACGGAAATATCCATTGTGCCACCTGTTGTAAACAATTGAAAAAAAGAACCGGTTGAACCGGGTGATGCTCCCCGATTGGTTTTGGACACAGAAAAGTATACCTCTTATAGTGTCAGAGTTATGTCCCGGACAAAGTTCAAAGTGTAAAAATAAACTAAGGACAATAACTCCAAAATAAGGCAAGGCAGAGCTACTGTTTTATTTGCACTGCATTTCTATTTAATTTGATCTATATTCGAACGAAATTTCATGTAGATATCTCCTTTAGTTTTGGAGTTCTGTTCCGGACAAAGTTCTTAGAATATATCACTTTGACCCAGTATGATCTATCTACCTACAAAATTTCATGTTGATATCCGTTATGTCCCGGAAAAAGTTCTTGGAATATAAATGAACAAAGGGCAATGACTTCAAAATAAAGAAAAACAGAGTTATGGTTCTTTTGCACTGGACTTCTACACAATGAGATGAAGTTTCATGTTTATATCTCTTTTAGATTTAGAGTTATGTCCCGGACACAGTTCAAGGTGTAAAAATGATACCTCTTGTTGTTTCAGAGTTATGGTCCGGACAAGAATAGCGAACGGACGGACGGACAAAACGGCGACTATATGGTTGCCCTTCGGGGAGCATAAAAATAAGAAAAAAAGATGGAACACTGCATTTAGCACAGCAAAGCACAATTAATCACCGAAAGTTGGCAGGCAGGCAGATATGTAGGTAAGTAGTTAATTAAAGCTCTCAAATCAACGAGGCTTACACATTTGATTTCCCAGTCTACCATGTGGGCCTCAGTAATAATAATAAGAAAAACTTTTGTTGACGTCCACTAGACTACCGCTTACAAAACTTCTCCCCTAAATAGTGAACAGTTCTAAACCGTGACATACTCCCCTGCTTTATTGGAATTCGTCCTCGAATTTCGAATTTCACAGAGTTACAGAGAATAGTGAATTATATTGTGAGCTATATATAGACACGGCCCCACGTTGGGCGCCAAATGTCACAGGGTGAGTAAAATGTGCAGCCTGACCGGGACTCGAACCCGGGACCCTCGGAATACCGTATTGCAGCTCTACCGACTGGGCTTTCCGGTCGCTTACACATCTTCTCCCCTAAATAGTGAACACTGAACCGTGACACTACTAACGAGGACTAAATATAAAAACAAATCAGACCTTCCATGCATTTTGCTAAATCTCAAATAAGTAAATTTATAACCCTACTTGCACTGCACGCAGACAATAAATATTTTACTGGTGAAGGTTTTGAACCTTTCCTGTGTATACAGTTTTATAAAAAAAGGCTAACTTGTTATCCAATTGCTACACTGAGATAATACATAGTCACTGGTTGACCTGGTTTGCACAAAATTACACGTGGTTATGTTTGTTGATACTGTTTATGAGCAGTTGACCTAAGAATGAATGGAAAAGGTGTGGCTAAATGTTCCGCTACGAAAAACCGGAAAGGTCCATTCATTTCTGGACCAATATAACATGGATAAGTGCACTTCAGAGAATGTAAGTCACGTATTTCTTGATAGTATAGTAATACTTATTTACCATAGCCTTAGCATTGAGAAGTTGTAGTGGAGTCGTTGAGCGTTACCATACTAAAGCGGGTTCAAATCCCAACAGATACATATTAATTAAATAAATTATTTCTTCAATACACTTCATGTTTGTGTCATGCATATAAATTACAAATTTCATGTTTAATACAATTCAATTCAGAAATTCGAACAAGGTTGAATTGAAATGATACACGTACAAGTATAATTCTATAAAAGTAATAAACAACAACACGATTACAATACACGTTACATAAACCCAGCTCTAAATGTCATTTATTGCCTTTTGCAAATTGATTTCGCAAGATAGTTTCTTTATAAATGTATATCACATCAAGACGACGTGTTGTGTGTAAGACCCATGTTCCTACCTCCAAGGTAAAGAAACTATCTTGCGAAACCAATTTGCAAATATATCAAAACCCTAAGTCTTGTACCTTCAGACCAGAAGATTTTTTAACTATTTACTTTGTGTATTATGAAAATCAATGACTTCCTGGGCGGGCAAATTTTAACCCCAATGCTATAATTTCAACAATCTTAGTAGAGGGCCTCTACACAATGTTTCATGCAAGTTATCAAACCTTAAGTCTTTGTAAATTCAGAGAAGATATTTAGGTTTTCTTTTTATAGTTTTTATTATATACATATATGGAAAATCTATTACCCCTAGGATGGGCAAATTTTGACACTGAGGGCAAAAGTTAACAACTTTGGTAAGGGATCAATAAATAATATTTTATATCAAATATCAAATCTCTAATCTTGTATCTTTTGACCAGAAAATATTTTTAAGTTTTTATTCTATATATCAAATGGAAAGCAATTACACCCTGGGCGGGGTCAAGTTTGACCCCAGGGCAAATAATAATGTTAGGGGTCCACTACAATATGTATCAAGTCAAAAATCTTACCTCTAGCCTTTGACAAATCAGAGAGGAGGATTTGAAGTCTTTATTTTATACATATTAAGGAAAATTAATGACTCTCTGGTCTATAATTTAAAAAGTTTTGTAAGGTTTAAGTAGATGATGCTGCATACAAAATATTGAGGCTCTAGGCCTTGCACTTTCAGAGAAGAAGAGTTCTAAGCTTTCATTTTAAAAATATATATTTAGCCCTCTGACCCTTTTGTTAAATTGAGCGGAACCATTTAAACGACTTAAGTAACGCTTCATGCTTGGAACCACGTGCACCCAGCAAAATTTCATTAAATTTGACCCAGTTGTTTCCGAGAAAAAAGAAGCTGACGATGGAGGCAAGGACACACTGACAGACGATGGACGCCGGACAAATTGTAATCACAAAAGCTTATTGCTTAGGTTAACTAGAAATCAAGCACACATACAGCAGAGTGTCCCTCTTTTTGTCTAAAACTTTTAAGATTTCTGCTGTTAAACCAACTTGGTTTATCATTCGGTTTTATTAGTGTTATATCATGGAATGCATTTCTTCAACTATAATAAGGGTTAGACTATAATCTATGAATTTTACAATAAAGGAACTGCATAGTCTATTAACAGTGATGTTTTGAATAAAATACCAGTTTGTACTTCATGCCAATGAACTAAATTTTATAAAATATTTTTGTTATACATTAAATTATTACTTTTTCAAAAGCTTAGTTATGAACCATGGTCTACTTTTACCTTACATGTCAATTTGTATATCTTTTCTTTTTGTGTTTAATAAAGGAAATTAGTGTTTTTTTTTAATTTTTTGACAGGTATTATATGGTTTATATAACCAGTTGTTTGTATACATGTAATGTAGTGTATAACACGAGCAGCTAGGCAAGAAAATATTGCAAACGACCGTATATAAACGGCTACATTATTGGCGACGCCGCTCTTATGGAATGCTTTTTATTTTGGCCTATGGAAGGAGCTGTTATTATTAGCAATTAATGTCATGTTGTGTTAATAAGTTTTATTTTGATTCGTAAACATCAAGTAAACAAATATGTTGTTTTATTTGTATTTAATAACTTTATGTAAAAAGCATGTGCATTGTGATATTATTTTCACGAAATTACAGGTTCAGTTTAACAGCTTGTCCCATAGCTTTATTGGCAATACTAAAACCCGGATTTCGAATATCGTTGTGGTCTACATTGATATCATTTATATATTATCAAAATTTTCCTACAAGAAGAACGTTCACCTGCAAATGAGTATTAGGATTGGTAATGGAACTGTCATATTACGTTTACCTATTGCACAGAATGATTGTTTTTATAAAGTGTACCAGTGTCCGGATGTTGAAAGCTATCCGATTTTCTGCAATTACAGCTATCACATGACCATGTAACGTTTCATGAATACTTTACCATTACTTTGCATGGCTTAATAAAACTGGGCCTGCAACATTTCATAATTTTGCTGTTTAGGGTGTTCTTTTGGGTTTCATGTTTTCTCTATTTTATGGGTAAGTAACCCATGTTTACTAAATTATTTATTCTTTTCTGTCTATCTTACTTGGTGTTACTTACTATTTTTGTTGTAAAAATTTACCAGTTGTAAGGTCATCAAAAGCATAGAGGCCCTGAAGAGTGAATATTGATAGATGTTTATGCCCCAACAAAGTGGGAGCATATAGCGTTGCACTTGTCCGTCCGTCTGTCTGTTCGTCCGTCCGTCTGTCCGTACGTTCCGAAATCTTGTGAACGCAACTCCTCTTAAACCGGATGGCAGATTTTGCTTAAACTTCCAGGGATGAACAACCTTAATGTGTAGATGGTAGTTAAGGAAGGAATTTTTGCTGCGACCAAATTTAACAGAATTATGTCCCTTTGTTGATTTTTTTCACTATATACTATGTAGAAATTTTGTGAACGCAACTCCTCTTAATTTTGCTTAAACTTCCAGGGATGAACAACCCTAATGTGTAGATGGTAGTAAAGGAATGAATTTTTGCTGCGACCAAATTAAACAGAATTATGGCCCTTTGTTGATTTTTAGTTTTCAACTTGTGGCACATGTAGTCCAAAAATATTTGACCTAGAGTCATAAGATTGACAGAACAGTGGCGTGTGTGGGCATCCGTGTCCTATGGACACATTTCTAGTTTTTACTGGCTTTATATACCTTAGACTGGATTTTTCAGTTTTTTCAGTTTGTTCAGTTAGTACATACCTACAGGTTTTTTGCTACAGGAATCTTCTAATCACTATGTGAAACTAATAATTATTTTTTATGTGTTTGTATATAAATTGTTAATAAAATAATAAAATGAAAGGTAGAAAATTAAAGCTATGCATATAGGTGCTCATGTCCCTATATTAAAACAGAGAAAGGATAATATCATGAAGTTATCAAATATTTTAAACACTTGATATACGTATATGCAGTTAATTAATATATAGTAAAGTCTAATGGAAGGTTAAAAGAGGGACAGTATTTGTTACTGTAAGAGATATGCATTTAATGTTTAGACACTCCTACAACTCAATCTTTATTATATGATATAGACTTTATGAGATTTTTTTTTACTTTTAGATTATGAGTTCCATCAAAGTACCAATGTTAATATGATGTTACATTTATTTTTAATGGAAACTGGGAATTATTAAATTAATGTAATATGCATACATGTGTATCTTAGTATATGGATATGATGAGACTTACAATATTTCTGTATTTAAAACTTACAGTTATGATGGATGAGACTTGCATTTAAATTTATAAATGATAATACAGTTGTACATGTATTGATTAGTCTACAGGTTATCGGTGTTTCTACCCAGTGTTAACTGGCTAATAATAGTATCTATAATAGAGTTCATACATTATAGTTTTCTTTCTAGTACTGAGATTTTGAATTCCATTCATTAGTACTAATGTTAATGTTAATGTTAGGATTCCATATAAATTTAATAGAAACTGGGAATTATTAATGTTATGTGCATACATGCATATGTATATCTTAGTATATGGATATGATATGACTTAAAATATTTCTGTATTTAAAGAGTTACAGTTATGACATTATTTTTACAGGGATGAGACTTTCATTTAAAGTTATAAATGATAATGCATGTATTGATTCAAAATGTCCTTATAAACTTGGATCACGAAATATAATTAATAAAGTCTCAAAAAATCATATTCTGAATAGTTATTCTATTTTCTTTCTAACATGTGCATAGTTTGAAAAGGACAGTTCTGTCTTATCAATGTGGAAAGGAGGGACACCGGTCTCAACCTCCAGGTCTCCTGAGTCAACCGGACAACAGACTTTTCATAGAGTAGATTTGCATTTGAATAAATTTGTGCACTAAATTTTAAAGTGGGTGATTTGTGCCACATGAAAACCAACAAAGTACAAAAAGTGACCGGGCGCCAAATGAAAACATGAAAATACAATCTACCACAAAGTGGTTCGTTTGTTGTATTTTCATGTTTTTGCCCGGTGCCCCCTGATGCAAAATACAAATCAGCCTTCATAAAATTTCTTATCATAGAAAAAAGGTTAGTTTTTTATCTGTACAAAAAATTAGATATTGTACATGTATTAGTACAGTTATGTTCACTTTCAAATTGACATGTTATAAATAATGGCACAACCAATAACTGTCTAAGCCCTTTTTTAGTAAAAATAATTATACAATATATAAATTGTTATTTTGATTAAGACTATGGGTATGTAAGTTTGTTTTGTGCCCCCACTTTAGCGGCGGGCATTTAGATTTACCCTTGTTTATCAGATATTTTGCTTATTAAAGTCAATGTTATTCTCAGATAAGTAATTTTATTATTTGAATTAATTGTTCAAAAAATGCATATGTAGAAATAAGTTCCAATACATTTGGGTATGATATTAAACAAAAAGTAACATATTATCAGAGCAAATGTTCTAAATTATTAAAGTCCAATGTGCAGGTTTTGTGATTGGATAAACCAACGTGCAGGTTTTGTGATTAGATAAATTTAAGGGGTTAAAATTTGATCTGCCAACCTTAACAATAAGGGTCTTCTACTGACTACAGGTGATGTCCCTACCAAGTGTAAAAAAAAATTAAATGTATAATAGTATTGCAAGCAATCCATAGGTCCCCTATCGGTTAGAACCCCACCAACGTTCTTAATGGCCATTGGCCATTCAACTATGCCATAGAATTAATGAATGACATGAATGAACTTAAATCTTCTGAGTTCGTAGTTTGCCTGTATCAAAGAAATGTGTTAAGTTTCCCTGCCTAGTAAAGAATTATGTTTATAAAACAATAATCAAAAGATCAAATTTTCTCAGAATGAACATGTATAACTGATGTTTCACTATTTTTCTAGTTTTTTTAATTTGTTTTTTAAAAGTGATCTAAGGAAAGAGGTTTTAGGAACGGACAGACAGACTGACTGAAAGACACTCTGAGGGTTAATCTTTGAACATCCCTGGTTGTCACCAGAATGTTACTTATGAACATTGTCATACATAATTGGGATGCAAAAAAATCTTATGTTTAAAGAAGATACCATTTATAGTCACAAAAAGAAAAGTGAAAAAATAACAGTTTCGAAAAATATTATTTATAGAAATATAGAAACAATTAGAAAAAATATTTTCAAATAAATTTCAAGTGCAAATAAAAATAATCATGGAAACCCATGCAAAATAAATCTAATCACATATGATGTAAATGTTGATAATGAATGTATATTTCCACATTAAAATCAATCAAAGATGAAATAAGAAAGGTAAAGAATGAATAAGAAAAAGAAAAAATCAAAATTAAAAAAGCGTAAAAACGTGAATCAGAAATCGTGACGAGGTCGCCGATACTTGGTGAGTAGGACAGCTCTTAGCACACTCCCTATAGTCAAGATTAAAATGATGTGTAAAATATCCATACTTCCATCTATCTATGTTTTAAGTTTAATAAAAATATTTTCGATACTCTCTGAGTAATCACAAATAGTGTTATATTTGCCATATTTTCAGCCTATTGCCATGAGATACAAATCTTTTATAAAAAGAATTAATGAAAAATAATATCCAGACTGCTATCTATCCATTTATTAAGTTTCATAAAAAAGTTTCTGTACTTTTTGCGTTATCACGGGATCCAGTTTTGTGAACAGACGGACGGACTTACGGCCGGACGTCCTCACATTTGTATTCTTGTTGGGTATTTTACTATGTAAAAAAGTACCCAACAGTACATCAAAATACACAACAATACATACGGAGTGAGTAGGATTGGTAGTTGTTTGGTATTTAGTACCAAACATATACCCTCTCGTGCGCTCGGACTGACTGTAAACCTTAAGTCCACTCTGGTTTAACCGGTAGGGATTAATAAACCAGTGTTTATTCCTTCTTAAGTTACTGATTATACAACAAAGTATAAATGACGTACAAACAGACGATCTGACTCAATCACAGTGTGTCACATTTTTTCTTAAGTTGGACCATAAACAAATCACTACAATGAATTTGTTTGGTAATTATTTTTGCAAAACACCATTTTAAAATAATTGTTAAAATGATATAGTTAAAAAGGTGGGTTGTAAGGTGGTTTTCATTACAATTTAGTAATCTTTAATAATGGATTTCTTATAGCAATTATATAATATTTTGGAAAGCTTAACAAAGATTACAAAATGTACGTTGAATATTATTAACTTGACTGTTGTTCTTATGACCATCATTTTCAGACTGAATACAATCTAGCAAACACAAACCTCCTAAGTCAAAGACCATATACTTTCTACCGGATGCAATTATCACCAATTTTTGTATTTCTTCTTCTTCTGGTTTCTTTGCAAATTGGTGTTCCTGGCAATATATAAGGACAACCTATAATAATGCAGAATTGAGCAACTGTGCAATATATGGACAATTTGAGCAGCCGCATGAAATTATTTATACTTTTTATTTTTTTACAATAAACTGTATTTGTTTGTTTTATTAATGCATTTCTAATTATGATCATATATTGCACAGAAACAACACATACAAAAGCAAAAACATATAAATAGAGCCACTGGTTCAATGAATCTTCCTGAAAACAAAATGATACTGAAAAGTTATTCTACAAATCAGATCAAAGTGCTTAAGGCACTGAAAAAACAGAAAGGAATGCGCAGCTTAACTAGGAACTTATTAAACTCCAGATGTACAGGCAAATGAACTATTTGTGTAGGACTTTACGTCTTAATTTACGGTATATCTATGCTTTATTTTGGGTTTCTGCTCTTGAAAAATATCTTATCATATATTTTCTACAGGATGCAATTACAACCTTTTTTTGTTCTTCTGCTTCTTCTACACGGACTCTGCAAAATGGTATTTCCTGTGGTATTTCCTGACAATATATAGAGGCAACCTCTGATTCTAGGGCAATGGAAAGGTATTCTCCGTCTATTCCAGACTATAATATACAAATTTATTTTGAATATTGTTTGTATACAGTATATCCGTAATGCAGGAATTTTATAATTATGCAGAATTGAGCAGCAGTGCAATATATGGGCTATCCGAGCAGCCGTATGAAATCATTTATATCTTGATGCATTTCGAGGTATGGCCATTTATAGCATAGATACAACACATACAAAAGCATATTAATAGAGCCATCGTTTAAGTATTCAATGATACTTTCTAAAAAAATGATACTGTAAAGTTATTCTCCAAATAAGCTCAAAGTGCTGAAGGCACTGAAAAGACGGACACGAATGCCTAGCTCAACTAGGGACTTTGGATTGCACATTTTTACTCCAGATTTACAGGCCAATGAACTCTATATGTCAGAGTTTACGTCTTAATATATGGTATACCTGAGATTTCTGTTTTTGAAAAATATCTGAACGAGTAAACTGGACCCATTTATAGGGCCAAATATCGTATAAAGAAGCAAAATAATCCCCGATAATTATTTTATAAATTGGCTTCAATATACTATTATATTATTTTCAAACACTATTATATTATATTATTTTCAAACATTAAGAACATTCTGCATTCATATCATATTTAAACTAAACGTGTAAAACTGTTTTTAAAGTTAATGGGGCATAACTCTGCCCAAAAATCAACAAACCACGACACAATTTGAGCTTTACCTGAGCATTCATTTATGAAATTATAAACAGAAAACTGAAAATGTCTTCAAGGGACATTACTTGTCATAAATCATCGAACCATGACCAAATTCGAACTTGACCTTCATTTTCCTATGATATATCATACGTCAAAATTTAAACTTGAGTTGAATGTGTGCAACGGTTGCGAAGATAATAAACAGAAACTGATGATTACGAATACTGGAAATACATTAAACGGAATAACGGAACGCACCATGCAGCCAGTTGATTGCGGGGACATAAACAGTTTTTACCCTGTTTATAAATTTCGATAGGTAGGTCTACTCACACCTGTTGTGAATAATTTCCATTATGCTCAATGTACAATTTTACATCTATAATCTACCAAACGTTCCAAATTTAATAGCTGACAAGATAATACGTCATTTTATCAAAATCTAGGTAAGCTAATATCAACGTTCAATTTTACATCTAAATATGTGTAAACTATTGCTGAATGTGATTAATATCCCATCAGCAACTTTGACCTTTTGAAAAATAAGTGGTCTGAAGAAAATATTGAACTCTACGTATCAATTGTGTACAATTTTTTTTTATTTGAGTGCAGTATCTCATTCCGAACATTTTTGTCTTAAAAACATTTTTTAGTAATAGTGATCCTTGACCTCAGATGGTCAGGGGATCAAAATGACATCCTAACCAGGGTTTCAACATTAGGTTGCTAAATACCAAGTTTGTTCACAATATCTCATTTTTAACTAAATGTTACTTTTCTGATTTTATTTTACTATTTTTAGTAATGGTGACCTTGACCCCAGGGGATCCAAAAGCAATCCCAACCGGGATCTTTATATAAGCTTTTGTAGTTTCAATTACCTTCCACTGGTTCACAAGATACAGATCGGACAGATGGACAGTCATGCAACCAAGTTGAAGGTCATTTCTATATATACTGAATTAGCTCTATTTTTCCTTTTTGTTCTGTTAACAGTAATTTGGCCCCCTATCCTTATTCAGTAGTGCGGAAAGACATACGAAGACATACATAACTAATACTTATGGGATTCTCTGTTAGTTTATAATGTAATGTGACTAAGAATACAGAAGAGTTAAAAGTGGCATTACACATTTAGAACAAGTTGACATTTAATTATTACATATCATATTACAAATCCAAACACCATTTATAATGAAGTCTTCTGAAATACATGATATCATTTCCATTAATGATACAGCCAACTAACTGGCTTTTATTTCATATTTATTTCATTGTGATTTTTTTAAAATTAATAGGCATGTTGATTAAAAGTAAGAACGTATATTTTACCAATTTTAGAGATGAGTTATAAAACGCTTGTAACATTGATCATCAAAAGAAAGTGCAAACCTCATATGCAGCCTCTCTCATAAACTGTTTTGCTGGGTCCGACCATATAGCAGGCACAGTGATAACCCAGTGTATGTCATTTTCATTAATGCATTGAACCATTCTTTGAACGTTTTTCAGTAGGTCTTCTTTAAGATATTTGATAGCAGCAGCAAAAACTGTAATTGCACACATTTCCTTGCCATCTACTGTTTTAAGTTTCATTGAGCGTTTTATCTACAAAGAGATATATAGCTACTTTATATAAGTCCTTATAATATTAAATACAACATTTGATTGACACAATACACATGACTGTATTGGGCTATAACATACTCATAACAATTTCAATAATGCATTTTCCCCGATTCATTAGAAAAGGGTTTAAGCTGTAAAGTCACTAAACAAAAACATAAAAACGGAGTATAGATTTAAAAGAATAGTCAATTTATAATAGTCACATTCTTGTAAAGTTGCAATTTGCTGTCATTACTACAACTAAAAGCATGAACTATAAATGAATGCAGATGTATTTTATCTTAATTGTAAGCTGATTTCACAACTAATCTGATTACAATCTAAATAACGATACGCTACATGTAAGAAATATGCAGATCTTAACTAAAGCCAAATTTATGTCACAGCGCTCATATCTACAAATGTAAGGTTTTGTGATACTTTGGGTGTGTGAAATAGCTTTGACCCCATCCATCATGAACAATACCCGAATTGAACTCAAATAATCAAAACAACTAATCAATATTATATTTATATTGTTAAAAACGTTTTATTTTTCAGATTTGGGCTCTGCAGTGGCCTAGTTTTGACTCAAGAAATTTGTGCAATAAATCAACAAAACAACCTCAGTGACCAATATCCATGATATATGGGTTATATAATGGATACTGGTCACTGAGGTTGTTTTGTTGATTTATAGCACAAATTTCTTGCAGAAATTTTATAGCAGAAATTTGTGCTATAAATCAACAAAACAACCTCAGTGACCAGTATCCATGATATAACCCATATATCATTCTTGCAGAAATGAAAATAAACCTGAGCCATTTTAATGGACAGTCAATAACCAAACAAGAGGGTCATGATGGCTCTAGATCGCTCAGTTGACCCATCATTTCATTGTTCTGTAAATAAATTAAATATTTTGTCATAATATTTTGGAAAGGCTTTGTTCAAAATATCTATGTTGCAAATGTGTTCCTATAATACTTTATAGAATTATAGAAAAAAGTCAAACAATACCAAAAATATCAAATGTACGACTCCTGGTATTAAAATTCAATTAAGCGTCGGCAATTACAGACTTGACTTAAATTTCAATTAAAACAAGGGTGCCATAGTCACAAAATACGCCCGTTTACGAAAGCTTTAGATGGAGATGGGGGCATTATGGATAAGTTTTATCTAGCAAGCAAGTTTTTATTCTTGGCACTGTGTTGTAAAATGAACCTTAAAACAAATCAGTAGGGAAGATATGCACAGGATGTGTGACCTTGACCTTGGTCGCAGGGACTTGAATTTTATGCACGGCACTCAGCCTCACAATGATGAACATTTGTGCCAAATTATATTGAAATCCCTCTATGCATGTAGAAGTTTTGCTCCAGACAAGCGTTTTTCTATGAGCTCTAACTGTGACCTGCACCTTTGACCTAGAGACTTGGTTCATGTGCAGGGCACTACGTCTCATGGTGGTGAACAATTCTATAAAGTAACATTAAAATTCCTCCATGCATGTAGAAAATATGCTCCGGACAACATCTAGATATTTAATCATCTCCGGTGACCTTGACCTTGCAAATATAAACCTAAATTAAATGTGTCACACCTGTAGTCATTATAGTTACCATTTGTGCTACAAACCATCAATAAATGATGACTAAATGGTCCCTATACACATCGTCAAATTTTTATCTGAACTTTGACCTCTATGTGTAACCTTGACTTTGGTCGCAGGGATCTGAATTTTGCGTGCGACACTCAGACTCACAATGGTGAACATTTGTGCCAAGTTATATTGAAATCCCCCTATGAATGTAGAAGTTTTGCTCCGGACAAGCGTTTTTCAATGAGCTCTAAGTGTGACCTTGACCTTTGACCTGGATCATGCATGGAGCAATACATATCATGGTGGTGAACATTTCCATAAAGTATTATAAAAATTCTTCCATACATGTAGGAGATATGCTTCAAACAATATCTGGATATTTCACCATCTTCAGTGACCTTGACCTTGCATATATTGACCTAAAGTACATGTGTCACAGCCGTAGTCATGACAATGACCATTTGTGTTACAATCCCTCAATAAATGATGATTAAAGCGTCCCTATACACATCTTCATATTTTTATCTAAACTTTGACCTCTATGTGTGACCTTGACCTTGGCTGCAGGGACCTGAATTTTGTGCTCGACACTCCGCCTCACAATGGTGAACATTTGTGCCAAGTTATATTGAAATCCCTCTATGCATGTGGAAGTTTTGCTCCGGACAAGCGTTTTTCAATGAGCTCTAAGTGTGACCTTGACCTTTGACCTAGAGACCTAGTTCATGTGCGTGACATGGCTTCTCATAATGGTGAACATTTCTATGAAATGTCATTAAAATCCCTCCATGCGTGTAGGAGATATGCTCCGGACAAAATCTGGATATTTCATCATCTTTAGTGACCTTGACCTTGTATATATTGACCTTAATTATATGTATCACAGCCATAGTCTTGATAATGACCATTTGTGTTACAATCCCTCAATAAATGATGACTAAATGGTCCATATACACATCTTCATATTTTAATCTGAACTTTGACCTCTATGTGTGACCTTGACCTTGGCTGCAAGGACCTGAATCATGCGCGCGACACTCCGCCTCACAATGGTGAACATTTGTGCCAAGTAATATTGAAATCCCTCTATACATGTGGAAGTTTTGCTCCGGACAAGCATTTTTCAATGTGCTCTAAGTGTGACCTTGACCTTTGACCTAGAGACCTGGTTCATGTGCGCGACACTGCTCCTCATAGTGGTGAACATTTCTATGAAGTTTCATTAAAAATCCCTCCATACATGTAGGAGATATGCTCCGGACAAAATTGGACAAACCCGCCCGCCGCCCGCCGACCGCCAGGGGCGTTCCCATAATACGTCCCGTTTTTCAAACGGGCGTGTAAAAAGACAGTAGGTCAAATTATATCAACAATATCAAAGGCATAGCAGTTGCTTACAAAATTCAATTAAGCATCAGACATAACACCCATGGCCAAAATTGAAGTATGTATGTCAAAAAAAAGAAAAGAAAAAAAAAGTAGGTCAAGTGATATCAATAATATCAGAAGTAGGTAAGCTGATATAAAAATTCAATTCGGCACCAAACATTACACCTTAGGTCAACATCTAATGTCTGTATGTCAAACAGCAAGAAAGTAGGTCAAATGGTATCAATAATATAAAAGTAGGTCAGCTTCTATTAAAATTCAATTCAGCATCATCAGAAATTGCACCCTTGGTCTGTATGTCAAAAAGCATGAAATTATTTCAAATGATATAAATAATTTCAACTATCAAAATATGAAAAATACGACAGTTGCTATCAAATTTCAATCTAAAATCGGAAATTACACCACTTGTAGAAATTTCAAGTCTGTACATCACAAAACGAGAATATAGATCAAGAGATATGAAAATTAACAAAAGTTGGTTAACCGATATAAAAATTCTATTCGGCACCAAATTTAGAGATGACACACCTAGTACAAATTACAAATCTGTATATAAAAAAGGACAACAAAAAAACACAAAAAACCCGTAGGTTAAATGATATCAAAAATGTCAAAAGTAGGTAGGATAATATCAAAATTTAATGCGGCATCAGAAAAAAACTCCCTTGGTCTAAATTCCATGTCTGTACATCAAAAAGCAAGAAAGTAATTCAATTTTTTTAAAATATACAAACTGATATCAAATTCAAATTGGCAATGACCCCCGGGACGGGGACAATTTGATAATTTGAACAATGTTGGTAGAGATCGATTACACGATGTTTATTTTCAAATTTCTCACCTTTAGCCTTTGTTGAAACAAAGAAGTTGATTTTTATAGGTTTTTACTATAAACATACAAGGAAAATCACCGTTTCCCTCAGGGGAAGCCAATTTTGACCCCAATGCAATAATTTGAACAACTTTTGTAGAGTTTTGTCAAATGATGTTACACACAAAATATCTAAGCTCTAGGTCTTGCACTTTCAGAGAAGAAGTTTTTATTTTTTTACTATATGTCCATAATTAAAATTAATGACCACTTTGCGGGCCAATTTCGAACCCAAGGGCTATATAGTTTTATAATTTTTGTTAAGTGTCATTAGATGATGTTACATCCATACTATCTACCTCTCGGCCTTACACTTTCAAAGAAGAATTTTTTAAAAGTTTTTGTTAAGGACCCCATTGTAGATAAGCCTTCGGGCTTTCATGGGCAATCCGATGTTATTGCACATTACTTTATACATGCTTCCACTTACGTCTAGTCATTGGAAAGAAAGATAAAGGGCTTGGTTCACTAACCCCATAAAAGTGCCCTAAAATTTTGAAAAAATAAAATAGCTTAACCAAATCAAATGCGTTTGTTTTTATGTAGACCTATCCTAAACCTGTACAAATATGTAGCCCATTAAGATTTTGTGATGAATTTTTCCAACAAAAATATCACTTTCACACACCCTGGTTTTAACTAAACTGGCTTTTTTGTGATTTTTTTTGCATGTTTTATCCTAAAAATAGGTATGAGCCACCACATGTGCCAATTTATCACTTGGCATCAGTGTTCAATAAATAAAAACAAACATGAAAATGTATGTTTGCAAGTGGCACACGTGGTGGCTCATATCTAAATTTGAACTTAAGGCACAATCATAATTGAAAAAATCATGTTTAAAAATTCAATTTCAAATAAAACAATTATGTCATAACATGTTGTATCAATAAATAAATTACAAATATTTATAATAGATAATCATTTCAGCAATGTCTGTTGTTGAGAAACTATTAGACTTAATGTTTTATCTGTTAAATATAATTTTCCAACAACAAGGACGAAACGATATTTTCGAAACGGTTTGAGTACGAATACCGCTGTTGCCAACGATAAATGTTTGTAAACAACGACACCACTACAAACAAGGTAGATTTAAATGTTTATTATATTCTTACCCCAAAATAA